GTGGACGCCCATTTACTTGGATCGATTATTCCTCCAGCGCTTTTTATCGACTGAAACGCCAAATTCCACGCGAACCCCCAACCTGGAGGACCAGGAGACTGAACTTCGTCTGACCTCTACCCATTGACTTTCCAGGCATGATAAGATCTCCTGGCTTTATAAAGCCATCCTGTATAGCTCGTTGGGTCACAGAGGTGCACAAGCCATCACACCACTTCAAGGTGTAGTCTCGTAGTGATGGAGAGTATGAAACGCATCCAAGTATTCACTTAACAGCACCCTCTTCGGTGGTTCGAGCTGGTACTACGCTGCCTAAATCACGATCTTGCCAAATGACCTTTATTCCTACTGTCTCTCTCCCCTGATGATGTGACCGCAGTCGACAACACCTTGGTGACAACCAGATTGGTGGTCATCAAGTTTGATATGGAGATCCATTAGTTCCGAAATGATCAGTGAGACTGTTTCTGAACCCAGAATCGAATATATTTCGTTCGGAACAACACGCTCTTTGTCTGAGCAGTTGCACTTCAGGATGTTCATCAAATTAGATCATCCTCGAGTAGAATAAATCAAATCAAACTATTTAGATCATTAGTGAAAACAGTGAACATGTTTTTGTCTGTGCGAACAGGGAGTGGGGAGCAAAACAACCCATTCCAAATGTTGTGTTTACCAATATACACCCTATCGTAGTTGCTTCTTCATTCGTTTTTTTCGACTCATTTGGACTTGGGTGATCAAGGTGCAGTATTTTAGCCACTGTCACCAGCGTGTTTTGAACCCTATAGTCCGAGGTTCGAGCCCCGCCACCCAACGTTGGTCTTGAACAGCTTTGTTTTCGTCCGGTTGAATACCACGCCTGAGCTAGCGGGGCCTTATGTAATTCACCTCCAAGTCTCGGGGCCTAGGTTACTGGTTTCCACCACTGAACAGCAGGTCCTCGTGGCTATGAGGTTCGCCTCGTCTGCTGTACATATCACACTTAGATGTGTAATATAAAGAACGAGTATCATAGTCGTTGTCCTCGGTAATGTAGTTTCCCGCTCCCCCTTCTCTGCATACATTTAAAAATGTCACTGATATATTGTATTGTATTGTGATTATTTGTGCAAGCAATCATGTCTGCATTTTAGTAAAAAATGTGTTCATCGTTAAAATAAAAAATGAAATGTCGTATACAACAATGATAAAACGTAAACAAAAGATCATCTTTATAGATCTTAAATTATTTCGTTTAGTATCCTCTTCTTATCAGTTAGAATTCGACCCTAAGAGGGTATTGTTGGATTACGATGAATGTTTATGCGGGAGTGTAAGTAGCGCTAATTAGACCAGGTTGGTGTATGGGAACAGCAAACAGCTGGGTCTGTATTGAGCAGATGACTGGTATCGTCCAAAATTTTATGGATACAATTCTCACTAAGTAAGTAATGTGAATATCACAATTTTGTGATTAGTGTTTATGGGAATGAGAAACGCACGGCTATTATGTCATCCAATCTAGGGTTGTAACTGTAACACTCCGATTTACTTGATATTCTGTTCGTTTATTTTCTTCACTTCCCATACCGTGATATCTTCAGATGGACTGTTATTATTATCGTGTTTCATGTTTGTTTGGGTGAAGACTTTCCTGCACAAATCCAATTTCGAAGCCTTATCCCGCTTGAGGTAAACAATAACCTGGTTCGTTGCCTGGCGGGTGAGGACGATATGCAGTGAGGACACGCTAGAAGAAGGGCTCCATATTTTGCATGTAACGGGTACCCAGAGCGTTTGGTCGACAAAATGATTCAGTGCACAGAAAACTTTTTACAAAACACCGAGGTTAAGAAAAAATTCGTTCAAAGGAGACATCAATCGAGATCATACAAAGGAGATTATCCGACGCAATCCATGCATCCAAGCTGTGTGTTATTCACATCCATGTCCATTGTGTGTTTGCGACTGAACGATAAAGTTCCCAACTCTGCGGTCTCATTGTGTATACTCAGTTACTTGTTCCTTTGGAACAAAGTACATAGGCCGCATGGTCAGGCGATTGTCCAAACAGGTTCTCGAGCACCGGAACGATTAACTCATTCACCAGTACAGTGTTTTCACACTTCGCTGAAACAAATCGCACCGTGGACGTGTTTGAGGATTTCCGACCCCTTTATAAAGTTCATGGGCCATTGTTGAGGCTGGCTACAGCAGAAGCGGTTGGTATTCGCCTGCACAACCTCCCTCTGTGTGCCCAAAAGCAATTTGTACAAGCGTTAGATCTTCCCTGGTCCGCACACCGTATCACGAGTAATCTCGATGATCGGATGAATGGACAAACAAATGTGATCTTGGTGAATCCGATTTCCGGTCTCATGGTCAAATCGTTTCTAGTAATCTATGATTTTATTTTATTTCCCCAAGTAGTGATATACATATATATATATATACATATGTATATTGAGATGTATTGGCGTGAATGCGAATCTCTGAAAACGAGCCTGTTCGCTACCCTGTTGTGTTGTTTGAAATCACGGTACAATAATCTTTTTAGCAAAAATCAATCTATTGTTGTTACGTTTTTCGTGGGCTCAATTCTACCAGATATCCCAGATCAGAGCAGACTATTTTCGTATCGGTTCACAGGTGAAGTCGTCAAATCCCAATCTACAAAACAATGAGGTGAAGTCTGAAAACCTTTTAGGAGTCAGTGACCAGTCATTCACATCATAGACCCTACGAACGTGGTGCATAATTCCAGGGCGTCCCCATCGAGCCAGGATTTTCTACCTGCCCCTAGATAATCTTGCTTCTATGCGGCTAGCTTCTGAGAAAGTACGAGGTTCCCGTGGCTCGTTAACCTAGATTTAGCTCCCCTTGTAGGCTTTTCATTCTGTTCAAACCTAATGAGAGCGCCTTCACCACGGGTAGTGTGATCGGATTTTCGGAAGCAACTCAGGGTAGCAAAAATCTAAACTGTCCACTCACACACACGCGCGCGCGTATAGAATGAATTATCTATCTTCTACTTCATGTGTTTCTAATCCCCCGCCCTCGTGAAGGTGTCCATTTTTATGACGCACATGACCAACTACAAGGGTGATCGTCTCGCTCTTTACTTGTTCGATGCCCTGTTCCGATACATACGCGACTGGACCAATCTGCATCTGGTCAGTGCTCCGCCTGCGCAGTTGGCTGACTTGTATGCGAGTCGCTTTGCTTCAGTAGGCGCGCGTGATTTGCCCCTCTACTCCGACCCTTGTCGTGATCGACACGATTTGGCTGTGTGGCCCACAGGTTGGCCTTGTGGTTCAAACGCACTGCCTGCTCTGTTGATTTTGGGTCCGCAAAAAACAGGTCAGTCATTTTCTGTGAAAATCTGAATCCGGTACGATCATGGTACATTTCATGAGCATTCACAGATACCGGGATTTATTTTTTATTGTGTTGTTGTCATCGGACGTGTAGCTCAACGGTCAGATTAACCCCAAATATTCGCGGTTCCACTCCGAGCTAAAGAGTGAACAATGTGTGCATCACTGATGTGTTTCAACAAACACGAAACCGCTGTCTAGCACACTTCCATCATCCTCTTCACACGCACACACACCTTTGAACAGGCTTGGTGGAGAACATGTGCTGTAAAAAGAAGCTCCTTTATATACTTTCATCGGTCACAAATGTACAGATTCCGTAGAAAGAGTGAGAATAAGGGGAGGGGCTAACAACTCATTGCAGGCGATTGGTTAAGAAAGCGTTCCATACACGGAAAATAGAGCGAAGATATTCAAATCAAAATACAGCAACATCTCATCCAACTCAAGCAATCCCTGATTCCAAAATGAAGGCTTTAAAAGCGTCATCCTTCCAGCATTGCGATTATACTGTTACACACACGGGAAAAAGAATAACCCCATCGATGAATAATACAGATAAATCGCGTCCTCAGAAGGTCTGACACCGCGGTTCTATGGACATCCAGATATGCAGAGAGGACTTTTACATCATCACTTTCCATTCTCGTGTCCCCTGCAGTCTCTAACATTAACGGCAAAATACTTCTTCCGGTTACCTCATTCATCCCGATCTGCAAATCGCAACGATGTAGAAAGTTCTACACCGTTCTTGCGAAAATTCGAAGGCTCTGCTTGAAAACCGGACGGAGTAATGATATCCTTTAACGAGACTTCATTTTGTGTCATCATGACAAAACAAATGACCATGGATAGTATTGGATTTGCGTGCTAGAAAACGGCCGAAATGTGCAATCGTGAACAACGCTCTTAGACGATGAACTGACGAAAATTGTCGATTTCCAACTCAACGTGATTGGGTACAAACAAGTACGCAGAACATGTATGGGTTACCACTCCCAGGTAAATCTCTAGAAATTGTTGTGAAGCAGCTTCAACCCATGGCATCCCAAACCTCGTCCACGATAGAACAGCTTCACCAGAACCATAAAGAAACGATATCCGATAACAACTTCACACTTGAGAAGCATATGGAGTTTTTATCAGGGGTAGGAAGCAGTCGACACATGCGGCACGTCAGAAGTCACTAAACGCGCACACTTTGACTGTTGGAAATCCGAGTAGCCCAGAAACCGGTCACAACCGCGAAATCGCTCTTTTTTCAACGCAAAGCATTGAATCAAACAGCACGAACAATCAAGTTTAATATACCCAATCCCGTGTCTAAGTGGTGGCCAACACTACCCAGGTGAGACAGGAAAACGGATGCGCACTCACCTACACGAACACAAGTTTGCCAGCCGACACGTTGACCCGGGGTTACCAATCTGCATCTTTTCCCATCGATCTTTATCCTCAACGAACAAACTCTAATCATACCACTGTAAGTTTGTAATATCAAGAGAGTACCGCAATATTCTGAAGTAAACAGATTTTACAAAAATATTTTCTACAAACGTTGATGTTACAAAGCGTGGTTAAGAAATGAGGTGTGGTGGTTGCACGCTGCACTTCATCAGGTTTAACCGATGAGCCCGTATTGTCAAATCATTTTGTACATCTCGCATAGCTTCAGGGTTTCCGTATGACATGCGATACTCTTGTGAGTGAGTCTCAAGTATAACACAAACCGTACATTCCTTTGCATTCACAAGTGAACTCTGTTCATGGTAGGTGGATACAAGAACATGTCAAGGATAATAAACACCATTCACAACATTGCCTCTAAACTTCTCTCCAGCATCATACTCTGTCGATTGTCTGCCGCACGTGAACGGTGTGAATCAAGCTGGTTTTAAAACTGATCGAGGTTGTATCTACCACATCTTCACTCCGCCAAATTCTGGAGCATCGACATTCTTTTCGTAGACCCTCCATCTCAATCTTCCTGAATCTGAAAGCGGCCTTCGACTCAGTCGACCGCTCTAAACTCTGGCGCTGCCTTTCTCTGAGAGATGTAACCCAGAAGTTCACTTCATTATTACAGTCGTTTTATACTAATAGCCGAAGCCGAGTCCGGGCTTACGTCACTTTTTCGCCCAAAGTCACCACGACAAGTGGTGGTGGTTACCTTCTCGATCCTTTTCTATTCAACTTTGTTATCGATTTGCTTCTTGAAAGAACCCTATTTGGCAGCGATCAGTGAAATTCGCTTCACTATATTTCGCCGTACAATCATGATGATGATCCTCGTGCGAGAATGGCGGTATCGATTTACTTCCAGCTGGTAAACTGTCTGATGTAAANNNNTACACTTTGAAGGCGCAAAACATATACCAGCGTAGCCGTGTTCGGTATATGTTTTGCACCTTCAAAGTGTAAAATGTTACTACCAGGATGGGTTGGTCCAGCACCCAGCCTCACTCAAACAGGGGAAGTAATAGAGCAGGTGGATATATTTTGTTATTTGGGCAGCTACATTTCACCCGCTGAACGCATCACGGATAAAGTGTCAGCTCGCAAACAGAAGGCTCGATTGGCATTTACCAACTTAAGACAGCTGTGGCACCGTCGCGAAATCCGGTTGTCTGTGAAGGATCAAACGTATACTGTGGCAGTTCGACAGTGCTTCTTTACAATGCACAGACTTGGAAGAGCAGAGCTGTATGCTACCGAGCGCGTCCCCAGG